TATAAGTATATTTATATATATATATATTATTTATATATATATATATATATATTTATATATATGTATATATAAATGTATTAATATATAATATATATATATACATATATCTATTTTTACATCTATATTTTATAGATATATATATACACTATTTATATATATTCATATATATAAATATAATGTAATATAATATATATTTATATATACACATACATACATATAATGATATAATACTAATAATATATTGTACATATATATAAATATATATATTATATGCATTCATATACATTATATATATTGAAAAAAATTAATTTACATACCGACGATACACAAGTGAATTTGATTTTAAATGTACCTCGGATTGTGACGCACATAATTTGTGCGTAGATATTTTTATTGATTACACTCCAAGGTGTGGTGATGCAACTCATTGCCTTGCGAGAAACATCATCGCTTGTCATATATAATTATGGTATTAAGACCTGATACACTCGTACCAAGATACGCCTTGACACCCACACACGTGTGTGCTTTCCCTATATAAGTATATGGTGTAAAGATCTGATGCACTCCAACCAAGGCACTCGTATACACCCACACATGTATGTGCACGTGTAGTCTAACAATATCCGTCGAGACGCATCGTTTGTTTGTTGAACACATGCCCCCCCTCCCCTCGTAAAGTCTGGTGTCCGGGGGAACCCCCCCAAGGCGGGTGCAAGTGGAACCAAGCCAGCCAGCAACCACCCCAACCAAGCAAGCCCGCTCGGAACATCTCTACATCACCAGCGCATTCATGCTGCCGGCCTCGGCCTGCTCCTTAGCAAACACCTCAAAGTACGAGTATATAGCCGTTACAGCCAGTAAGATACCAGTACCCGAGCCAATGGCACCCATGAGATCAGCAATGATGGACAAAGCCCCGATACACAATCCTCCCAAGGCAGCGGCCGTGGGGATGTACCGGTCGAGTACACTCAGAGTGCTGGAGTCACGGAACCCTACAATCTGAATACCCTGGTCCTTGAACTGGCGGTTGACGTCCTTGGGAGAGGTACCGGACACCTCAATCCAGGTCTTGGAGAAGACGGCGCACGTGGTCAGCATGAATACTGGATATAAATAGAACAGTAGGTAAGGGAACGGGTGAGTGTGTATGTTAGGTGATAGCTAATAAATACCGCTGCACACTAATAAAAAACAGTTGTCGGGTTAAACTTCAGAAACATGGCATGCGCGTGTAGACTACATGCCATAGCAAGAACCCCCCTCACGGCGCACCAAATAACATGAGATAGATATATAAGTATAGCATGAGACATGATACAGATATGTAAGTATAGTATGGAACATGATACAGATAAATACGTACAGTATGAGACATGTTACAAATATATACGTACAGTATGTAACATGATACAGATAAATACGTACAGTATGAAACATGATAGAAAGTTAATATATATAGACCAAGGTACAGCTATCATCATTCGTAAGCTCTGATCAGGGTTGTGTATTGAACTCTCAATGGCTGTCGCACATTTAAATAGTATCCACGTGCATGATTGTCATTTGCTAGAGTACACATAAATCGATAAATATATTCATAGTTACACATAAATCGATAAATATATTCAGTTACACATAAATCTATAAGCTGGTTGATATATATTCATAGTTACACATAAATTCTATAAATATATTCATAGTTACACATAAATTTATAATCTGGTAGTATATATTCATAGTTACACATAAATCTATAATCTGGTTAATATATATTCATAGTTACACATAAAATCTATAATCTGGTTAATACATATTCATAGTTAAAAATAAATCTATAAATCTATTCATAGTTACACATAAATCTATAAATATATTCATTGTTACACATGAATCTATAATCTGGTTGATATATATTCATAGTTACACATGAATATACAATCTGGTTGATATAAATTCATAGTTACACTTAAATATACAATCTGGTGATATATTCATAGTAGAATACGTATTGTATATGAAAGGTACTAAATTATACAGCGTTACACACGGTTCAACCAGCACCAACAAAACAAGTGGTCCAACAGGACACAAAGCCTACGCATGCTCTATTCATTCCTTTCTGATATATATATAAGTAAGACAAGTACATAAATAATCCATACTTACCCATATACACAATGGCGTGGACAGGATCCTTCCAGCATTCGCCCAGAGAGTGTGGGGGAGAGATGTAGTAGCAGAATCCACCAATGGGGTTTGAGTTGGGTCCCTCAGAAGCCCACACACCCAGCAGGCGCACAAAGAACACATCCTCGAACTTGTTGAATAGCAGCTGTGTTGCGTTGTGTGGATGTGTGTTTGTTGATCAATATCCGAGCGTGACTTGGGGTTGACGTGCATGTGTCAATCGTTGTGTATGGGTGCGCGTGGTAAAACCGTATACCATTCATGAGACGCACAGAGAAACACATACCGACAGACATACATACATATCTTTCTGCAAGTACAGCTTGTGATGGTAGGTGTAAGTACAAATACCGGCTCAATGAATAAATGCGCTACATGTGCCTCTCTGTTCGTTTTAAGGTGTGGTATTGACGATACAGATACCATAATAAACCCAAACGTACTATTAAAACAAAAACAACTCGTCGATTCACATAAAAAAATAAAATAAAAACCGACAGCAGCAAGATTACAGGCGTTATTGTACGTTTTACGTATAAATGCCACTGTACGTTTTATAAGCACACGTATAAATAGCAATGTGCCTATGCAGACACACCTGTGAGAAGAAGAACACGTTGGAGGTCAGGGCTGTCTGCAGGATGATGGGGATGTTGGAGGTATAGAACAGCTTGATGGGGTACGTCATGTCCTGTCCACGGAACTTGCTGCTCTTGATCTTCAGGTCGATCTTGAAACCCTGTTGCCGGGAGAGTGGTAGAGTGGGAATGGGCCACCCGGGTGGCGTGTGTGAGACTTAGGGCACGAGAAATAGACTAATGGGATCACAACCAAGTGGGGGGGGATAAGGTTTACTATCGCGACAGTAGTAACACAACACAGGCGAGACGAGCGAGAGATTCTGTGTATGTTATGAAGCACACAAGGACGTAATACGGTGAGAGCAGGCATGCACACATACACACAGGGACACAAGCGAGCATAGCCTCTAGGTACAGGAATCAGCATGTATATGATAAAGTACACAAAAAAGTATGCGAGTGAGAGTAGGCGTGCACACATCCACACAAGGTACAGTGGTAAGCATGTATGAACTCTGATCAGGTCTGTGTATTGAACACTCATGGGCCGTTCCCTCTGTACAGAAGGACCGAACTGTTTCTCATGCGATATCAGTAGCACAGAAGTATATCCTGCAATATCGTATACATGACAACATAGTACGGTAGAAGGACGGCTCATAAACTTGGACCCATCTTTCACAGGTATATGTATTGCCAATATAAATATACATATGAAACTCGTCACACATACATCCGAACTGTACACGTCTGTGTATCTCGCAGACACAAGCTACACCGCTACTTGTAGGTACGAGTGTGGGGTTTAGAAAAACAAGCACACACATAAGCGCTAGCACAGAGCAGTACATACCTGTAGGTAGATAACGACCACGAATATGAAGATAGTGGCAAACAGGTTCATGAGATTGGGCATGTTTTGTCGGTAGAAGGCTTCCTTTAGAGCTCCAACCTTGTTAGGACGCTTAATCAGCAGATCAAAGGTGGCAATCACAGCACCCTCGAATTCGTTTCCTGGGTTTAGGGTTTACGGAGAGAGATGGGTGTGGAGGATACGATGAGTGGGTTATGTGCGACTGGAATACATATCGTTAGAAGGTTCCGAACTTCGTCACGCATTAAATACTGAAATATGTTATAGCCATGCGCACGGAAATATATCAGATGGCAGCTGCTGTCTAAAATAGACAGCAGCAAATAAATATGCACATTTACTTTTATATATATATAGCTATATATACTTAACATGGTACATGAGTATATACATGCGCATATAAATATATATATAGCTATATATACTTAACATGGTACATGAGTATATACATGCGCATATAAATATATATATAGCTATATATACTTAACATGGTACATGAGTATATACATGCGCATATGCATTTATATATATATCACATAGTACATAGGACCGAACTAGTATACTCACCTCGGCCGACGTTGAAGGTCTGGGGCGAGAAGGCCTTCCACACGATAGTCTCACAGATGTTGGTGGCAATGAACAGCGAGATACCACTACCTAAGCCATAACCCTTCTGCAGCAACTCGTCTAATAACAAGACAATCAGACCAGCGAAGACCAGCTGTACGACAATGATGATGCACACGCCCATGCCCATCTGAGAGGGCTCTCCGTACATACCCATCATCACGTACAGACACGCCTGACCGAAGGTGATTAGCATACCAAACACTGGATAGGGTAGGTGGAGATGGAGAGGGGTGTAGTTAGAATATAATGCAAGGATAGGGAGTTATACGTCAAGGTAAGGTAAACAGTACAACAAACACTGTAGAGGGTTAGATTGAGCGAGGTATATTTAGAATATAATACAATAAACCAGATTGATACGCAGAAGTGTTTATTTGTACAAGGGGTGGTCTTATCCATTTACACAGACTTAGAACGAAACAGTACGTGGTAATAACACAGAATACCATATAGAATGCATACGCATACGTGTACATAGACTGTCTTTGTCGTAAATACATCAAATCTATATAATGCATCCTTACAGTTCTCAAGCATACAATATGATTATATATACAAATGCATATAAACGTACATATACACATACCCACATCGGAACACACTTGCATATAACCCCACGTCCACCAACACCATCGTCAACCACTTACGCTTCTGGGCGCCATTGAACAGCGCTCGGTCTTCCTTAAGGTTCATGTCCACGTCAATGAGCTTAGCCCCCGCAAGCAGCTGCATGATCAGCGAACTCGTAACAATGGGTGAAATACCCAAATCCATCAGAGTACCTCGGTTAGACGCCAGGATAACACGCATCCAGTACAGGGGATCGGCGGACTCAGAGGACATGAGACCGAAGAGAGGGATCTGGCAGCACACCAGGAAGATGATGAGCGTGATGGACGTCCAGGCGACCCTCTCCTTGAATTGGACCTGTGGGTGGGGGATGGGGAAAGTGTTGGGCGAGGCTGCGGATATGGCTCGTTCGGTGTGTGTGGATGTATCATGTGTACGATGTTTGTAGATTATACCTGTGGGTGTGGGATAGGATTGCCTTGTTATGAGATGCTCTAGCGATTTAGATTACACCTGTGCGTAGACTGCAGGTGAAGACAGGGCTGTCCAGTATGTGCGTGTGTGACACCTTAGAATGTGCCTGCTAGTGTGTGTGGTTGCACCTTCGTGAGAATGACTAGCCGATACAGACAATGGTGATATACGAAAGATGATACATCTGATAATACATGCTTCATGCACTTGGATGCGTTATGTTAGCCTCTTCAGCAATTGCACCTGCCAGTGAGGATGTGAACCATCTGTTTGTGGGGAGTACATCCGAGCACACGTGCAATACAGCCATACCCAATGCCCTTCTTATTTTATTACAGTGGTCACGTGGGGAAGACAAACCATATAACTATTCAGATTCATAAACCAAACAACTATTCAAATTCATAAACCGAAAAATTACTCAGATTCATATTTATGTACTCAGGTGTAGTGTGCGACGGACCCGACAGTGAATACGCGACTCTGTAGACAAGAAAAACGTGTGTGGTGTGACTTAACTCGTTCTGAGTGCTTTCTCACATGTGGTGTACAGCAGTGTATATAAATAGATGTAGAGACGAACTGTTAGCATGAGCTGAACACTCGCACTTATATGAGTTTTTTTTTCAACAGGAACGTTGAACTTGACTGTTCTTCCCATACGGGTCTGGATACTTAAAATCTACCTACACGATTAACATTATATAATACACACCACGATTCAATCGCATACTCTTCAGGAGAGGAGTGACTAACAGCTACACAACAACACCCAACGGTAATCTGATTGCAAACCCACTTGTGCTCAATGCATGCGTGCAACAGGATCTCGTAATCCACATAGAATAACACACACAAGATTTGCCTCATAAACACACAGATTCGGCTGAAGTTTGCCCATGATTAAATGTGTGTAATATGACAAAATATACTTACTTTCTTTTCCGGTGCATTGATCTCTGGCACGAATGCCATGAACGGCCGGATAACGTTTAAGAAACGCACTGTAGTTGTACAGGGAAAGGGAGTGAGGTTATGAGTTAAGGATTATAGTACAAGTATATGGCACTATATCCATATATACATATAAATTTGAAATATAAATATTTATATTCATATATATCCATGAATGTGTGTGTTTGTATACATAAATATGATATATATATACTCAGGAGGGGTAGGGTGGGCATAAAAGATTATATTATCGAGTGCAGAAGGACATGGATCAATTATATTAAATGTAACATACTTGCTATTTTATATTCAATTTAACATACTTTCTATTGTCATAAAAAGAGCATACATGTCGATACTCGGCGATATTACCATACTAAAAATAGTCACAATATTTGCTTGAATCTACGCACGTACGAGACCAAATTCGAACGGACCGTGATTGGAAAACATAAGCTAAGTTGTAAGCTCGAGCAAAGCAATGAATATATGCCGTCAAGACTGACCACGATAAGTAGTACGATTGAAACCTGAAACTTCACACAAATTTTTACAACTACACGAGTGGATCGTATACATATATGGACATACCCAGCATACTTATCAGTGCATGTGTTTGAATGAAATATCATTTGTGATAAAACACGTATGCGGATATATACGCTATTATTCTCAGAACCTGAAACTTCACACAGACATTCGCAACTACACGAGTGGATCGTATACATATATGGACATACCCAGCATACTGATCAGTGCATTTGTTTGTATGAAATACCATTTGAGATAACATGTATGCGAATATATACGCTATTATTCTCAGATATTATCATACAATGGTATATATATCCTCCTCCCCTTATATCACTCAGGAGTGAGCGTGATTACCTGGGCAATCTCAAAACACACGAGCCAACTAGTTCACCAATACAGTATAACACTGACATCTACATGAGTGCATTCGTACATTCTACATTGAATACATTATCTCCGGTGAGAGTACAAACTATATACCTACAAGGTTTACTGTGGATAGGAGCTATTACCAGCTCTTCACTCAACTAACACACCGTACAGGATAATTCAAGTTGCCACAAATCACGCCAGCACACACTATATGAATAGTGCACTACGCATTTATAAGGGACAGGGATATGTCTTATTTACTATACTTGAGATAGTAAGGGCGTTATATTGACAGTGTCGCGGTTGTGTATATCTAACAAAAAAACATCTCAATTTAGTGAACATAATCAGCCTGAAGTACAAGTACACCTGGTCACACACCTCCCATGATGAGCTATTTATATGGTGTTATATGTATATATGTAAATGTTCCAAGCACCCTAGGTACCCTTGTAGTGTATATGGTGTGTAGTAGAAGTGTGTCTGACTGAACGCTGCGGATTGTTCGTGCGTGTTTTCATACATACACATATTCTTCTACAGATAAATAAACACCGGAAAGATTTTTGGTTTGTTTATTCATTATTGGTATTTTCAGCAGGGGCAATAGAATACATAACAGTCAACACAACTACTACCAAACACCCCTCACGCGATGTATTTTCACTTTTGCAGTACACCGGATTGTTTTTTATTCGAGCAAGTTGTCGTTTATAGCAATAATGTTTTTATTATATAACAAGACACCAGTACAAATCCTCGGAGTCCCATAATCCCTCAGAGAGGATAGGGATTCTAGAATGATTTCTAATATCCGATCGAATTTAAAACGGAAGGAATTCGGTCGTAAACTACTGAGTAGACATATTTTATCAGTCAACGGTAGACTGTCCTCATAATATTTTTAAAAACATACATTTGTTTTTTTATTTAAATTCGGTTAAAAATTGACAGCCAAACCCTCAGTATAGTCTTGTAGTTAAATACTAGTTTACGACATACCAACTCTTCACCGGCTGTGTGATACCAGATATGTGTCTAAATATTGTACTCTTGTTACTAAAAGTGTGACACTTTTTCTTGACACATTTTGACACTGTTTTAAAATACACCTAAAAATATGTGCTCTGAATATAAAAAAGCAGCTGTGCATAACTATGCGCTTATCCACTTTAAAATTAGGAGGCTTTGACCTGCTGGCTGCTGATGATTGATAGCTTTATACATATTTATATACGTAAGGCGGTATTATTTAAGTGCGTTACATATGTATATACCTTTCCAATGTCCACACGATTGAATGCACAGATACATCACAGAACATATATTCTGAATGTGGTCTGTTGACGCCGGAGGGAAGGAGAAGTCTAAATAAATATTCAAAACCCATTCAAGCGTGTGAAATAAGTACTTAGGACTATATTCAGCTGCGGAACGATACTTTCTATTTTGAGAATGATTCTAATTTGGAATTCGAGGTGAGCAGTTTGCAATAAGTACATATACATTTACATGTCTATAACAATATATATATATATATA